TTGTTTGTGTCGTTCTGTCTCACGTTGGAATAAAAACAGATTGACAGAGACACCTGGATGGATGTAGAACTGATCTGGTGTCAGGTTCTAGCAGAACCCAGACGTGTTCCTCCTCCTAAATGTCATGTGTCTATCTGCTGTACTGATGAAGTTCTGAGGCTCAGAAATGATGGAAAAAGTCCATTAAAAGGAGTGAAAAAAACTAAATAACAAACAAAAGCATAAATGAGGTGTTTATTTTCTTCTTATTTTTTAAATCATTGTTCTTGTGTTAATTTTTACAATAATTCTAAAAATACTCTCATCACCCAGACAGCTGAGCTCCCTCCTCATCTCCACGGCAACCAGGGAGGGTCATCAGGGAAGCCCCTCCCACCACCACCGCATGCCACGCCCACCGTCACCCAGAGACCCGCCCTGCTCGTCTGCTGGCAGCGAGTCAGCACCAAGGGGGCGGGGCATCACGTCAGTTGTGAGGATAAATCCTTGGGGCTGGTTAGACATCTTTGTAGTTTACTGCTGTCCTCATCTCACAACATTATTACTGTAACTGAAAAATATGCCAAATTTTCAAAGTAAAAGCCTGACCTGATTAAATACTTTGTTGTCGTCACTTTTTATATTTTTACACAAACGCTGTTTTTATTTTGCAGTATTCTCCAAATGATTTCAGTCGCGCTGGTTTTCTTTACACATCGTTGATTTAATCTCTGTGTGTTGATGGTGTTTGTAGAATTATCGGGAACAGATGCATCATGGGAGTAGTTCTTAGTTTAGCGTTTAGGTACAGAGTCGTTCCACTGCTGCTCAGATCAAACCTTAAACTTGTGATTCCACAGATATCAGTGTGTTTTCTTTTATGTTCCAACAACATGAAATGAATCTTGTTAATTTGCTTTTCCATTCCAGAGTTAAATGAACATTTTATTCTGTTTACGAGGTGCACAGATGCTTCCTGTTTTCACATTAAAAGGCGTCAAAAATGTGTGAAACAATGATACTGTAATAAAAAGTGTCGTAAATCCAAAACTGTGACTCTAGTTTTGCCATCTTGAAATCTGGCTGCCGTTTGATTCACGCAGCTGATGGTATTTCCCAAACAGGCCGGTAAGTACTGCAGCTTTGATGCTCGTGTGTTCATTTGAACTTCTTTCCCTTTATCTGCTGCACTGTATACCTCAGTTCATTCATGTTCGGGGACGTTTTGCTGCCGATGCTGATGCCACTCTGTTAAAACAACGTCTTTGTCGGTGTTCTTCATGCACACAATAGAAAACAGAAGATTCAAACTCCTGTCAGCTCTCAGTAACTGCATTGCTTCTGAGCTGAGCGGTAGCGTTCCAACAGTCCACCTGCATGAACATGGTTCTACAGAGCAGCAGAACCTTCTCAGTTCTGGACCTCTGGACTGTGTCTATCTATGTCTGCATCATGGCTCCACATGGAGAAGACCTGAACAGAGGAGGAGAAACATCTGACTGAGAGACTGGACAAAGATGGAAAAGGATCCAGAAGATCAGTGAGCAGCCAGAACCCAGTGCAGCCCAGTGTGAGCAGGAACCAGGAGGTCCAGAAGGAGCCACAGCAGCACTGATCAGGGCTGCAGTGGTCGTCCTCCTACAATGACTCCACGGACAGTCAACTACTGTCACTATGGAGCTGTGGACACCAGACAAAGGCAGCTGCTTCAGACTTGGCACAGGGCTGATCAATGGAGACCAGAGTTAGTGTGAAGCTCACACAGTGTGAAGGACACTTCAGAACATCAGCCTCTATGGACGGAGGAGCAGAACTAAACCTGGCTGCTGCTCACAGCTAAACTTCCACATCAAAGTTCACCAGAGAACATGAACAGAAGCCTGATGGATGCTGGAGAACATCCTCTGGTCAGATGGAGATCAATGTGTTGGGCTCACATGGAGTCCAGATGTTTGGTGTGAACCTGACCAGGACCACCACAGTGGATCATGGTCCTGACAGTGAAGCACGGAGGTGGAGCATCATGAGGAATCCCCACACGAGCTGGTACCCAAACAAAGTCAAAGAAAATTAACAGATGTGAACTGTAGTTTTTGTTGTGGATTTTTATTTTGGCCAAACTGGGAAGAATGTTTCTACAGAAACATTGGTGAAATCTTTATCTGACCTCAGAAGGATGTGATGTTTGATCTCCTGGAAAATAGTTCACTGAAAAACACTCCAGCGCACACGATGTTTGAGCGGAGAGAAACTAGGCTTCACCACGTTGACCCAGAACTCAAACAAACCTGCTGAGAGTCGGTTGAACGTCCAGCTGCTTCCGACTAAAGCTCAGGAAAAGTCAAGCCGCTGTCTGAGCCACAAAGAAGCCGAACCAGGCTGCTTTTTACCCACAATCCTTTATTTATTTTTCCTTCTTTTTTTTTGTCTTTTGGATGCTGAACACACACAGAAGGAGAACAGCTGCAAGTTGAAAACAAACACTGCTCCCAACAACAACAACAACAACAACAACACAAGAGGAAAAACTCAAAACATGGCAACGCTGGACTTTCAGAACAGGAACTAATGTGGACTGATGTTCCCACTTCAGAGGCAGCATGTTTTCAGCTGCTGGACAGAATGAGCTCAGGACTCACAGTGGTTTGGTCTCTCCTCTGAAATCAACCAAGTCTGAACCAAGTTCCACCCCGACGGCCTCACAATCTGATCCACAGTGACTTTAATGAAGCCGCGCAGAGTTTCACCTACAAAATGAATATTTTCAGACTTGGTTGGGATTTTTTTTCACACTTTTTAACTTCAAAGATTTATTTCCCCTTTAAGCCCTTTATGCCCCAGACTATATCTACGAATGACTGCGTCCTGATGGATTCTCGGATCTTTGTTCTCGTGAAATACTCGATAGTTTCGCATCTTTGTGCCTCAGACACCTTCAGCTCCAACAGGACAAGAAGTAAAGACGGATGGAGGCCTGGACTCTAAGCCAACATCTGACAGCCTCTAGCCCTCCTGGGAGCTGCTGACGTGCCCCGAGGCATGCTGGGAGATGTAGTGATGTTTGTTACAGCAGAGTAGATGTACCACCGATGAATCAGACGCAGCCCACAAACTTCCCTCCACCGTGTCACAATGAAACAGAGTAAATATCAGCCGTCGCAGACGACAGTTTGGTCCTGCCCTCACAACACTTCCTCTGGAAGAGCAGCTGAGCTCCTCTTTCACACATCCAGGCTCTGCATCAGGACCAGTCAAAGTCAGGGATCATCGCAGAGGTCGGCAGCCTGTCGGTCAGTCCGAGTCGCTGTGGAAGCCACCTGAGAAGACAACCAGACCAAAGTGTGAAAGTCCTGCTGTTCTCTGGGTCACATCCCTTTGGTTTCTCTCCACCCAGTGGCCTCCAGAGGCTGAGAGTCAGCCCTGATCCCTGACTGTCAGGCTACAGGGGCCACTGGGGCATTGACTCACCGAGCAGCTCAGAAAGTTGACCACGTGGAGATTGGTGGAAATACAAACTCATCACACGAGTGACGCTTCCACAGACTTTGCAGCTCTGTGACAACAACGTGGACTGGCTTTGAGTCAATTCAAACGTTTAGAGTCCAACAGAGGAGAGTCTGTGTGTAATCTCACTTTGAAGTCAAAGGATTCCAGCTGGTGTCATCTCTCAGTAACTGCATGACTTCTAAGTTGACCTGCAGACTATTTCCTCCAATCGGCATCCAAACGTTTTACCAAGACTACATGGAAAATTCAGGCCCCAAATCAGCTCAAAGCAGCCAGAGTGAACCCAGCTGTGATTTCCTGGGACTGAGTGTGTCATCAACAATACAGGGAGACATACGAAGTACTGAAGACCTCAAAGAATAAAAGACTTCAGCTGCATTCAGCTGCTGCTGTGGGGCCTGAATTTTAATGAATTCACTCTGAACTAACGGCTCTTAGTTTGACGTCAGAGGAAACTGGAGTCATGTGATTACGGTGAGGTGAAGCAGTTTTCAGGGATTGCACATTTCAGTGATAGTCGCACAGGTCCAGTCCCACTTGAACTTGAGCGTCTGTACTATCTGTGGAGTCACTGAGGTTTGACATGTTTCTGCTGAGTTGGCTGTCTTTTCTCTGTCGCCGTCGTTCTGTGTCTCACCTATTTACTCCACATCATGCTGATCAAGGCGCCGGCGTCGCTTCCATATCTGGCAGCTCGGCGTCTCCGACCATTTCCTCCACAGCTCTGGAAGGTAAAGACAAAGTCCAGACTTTAGGAGACCAACACAGACTCTTTGATGCTGGACTGAAGCTGCTGAGAGCAAACATTTGACCTTCTGCTGCAGAAGCCTCCAATTACATGTTGTTATATTTTATTCAGTACCAAGAGTTTAAATGTCAGCAACAGCTGAGAGTGAAGAGAGAGATCAGACCACAGACAACTAATCAGATCTGGAAAAAGTTCCCCCTGACCTCCTCAGAATCAGCTGATTTGAAAGAACGCTACATTAGCTTTAACAGATTTAATGAAGCCGTGCAAAGTCTTACCTTCATGCCGTCAATACTGTCAGAGGTACTTTTTATCTTACTGTTCAATGGACTTTTTCCATCATTTCCGAGCCTCATAACTTCATCAGTACAGCAGATAGACACATGACATTTTCAGATTCTGTTAAAAACTGAAACCAGATCAGTTTTACATCCACCCATGTTGATTTGTCCAAACTATGACATAAAACATGTGAACACTAACGCTGTTTCTGCGTTTCACACTCAGAAGATTCATTCACCAGTTAATATGTGACTGTATTACAAAACAGTGTTTCCTCAGAGTGGATCCTGTCTACAGATGGTTCTGGTAGGTTCTGGAGGTAAACCGGTCCTTTCATTGTCTAGAACCGGGTCTGACCAACCACCATCACACATGCTGATATGAGCCTGGAAAGTTTACCCAGAATGCACTTTGTAAAGTTTCCTGTGGTGACTGATCAGAACCAGAACCACATCCAGGGTACCACTGATTGTTTCTATGACTCCATGTCATAAACATTAAACTGGTACCACTATGATCCATCCCATAATACTGATGCTAGCAGCTGCTGACAGAGGACATGAACAGAACCAGGTCCAGTGTTCAGACTGAGACACCTGGATGGATGTAGAACTGATCTGGTGTCAGGTTCTAGCAGAACCCAGATGTGTTCTTCCTCCTAAATGTCATGTGTCTATCTGGTGTTCTGATGAAGTTCTGAGGCTCAGAAATGATGGAAAAAGTCCATTAAGGTGATTTAAAACAAAAAAAACAACAAACTCTGAAAATACTGACAGCAAAAGCTGAAACTTTGCTTCATTAGAGAAACTAAAGGTGCTGCAGATACAGAACCAGATGTTCTGAGGAGGTTCTGGTTGAGGTTTCATGGGTCGAGGTGTGTTTGCAGCGAGGCGTACCGGGTCGCAGCTCGTCTTGGCTTTGACGCACAGCTGGAGTTTGCAGTGCAGGTAGACTTCACCAGAGCTCCCAGAGAACTGGAACATGTTGAAGGAGAAGGAGTTGGAGGTTCCCAGTCCGTTTCCCATCACCTTCACCGTCTGGTCGCCGGGACTGGCACAGCTGAACCACCAGGAGAACAAACTCTTTTCAGGAATCGATCAGAAAACACATTCATCAGTGAACACGTGGGAGCAGCAGCCAGTCTCACCCGTTCTCTATCAGCTTGTGTCTCTTTGTGGAGTTTGACTGCTGATCTTTGGTGGCCCAGCAGGAGTCGGTCACCAGGGCCACCAGGCCTCCCTCCAGCCCCACAGTGTCCAGCTCCACCCAGATCTTCTGGTTCAGCTGCAACTCGGTGTTCCGATCCACAGCTTGTGTGTGGGCGGGGTCGCTGTAGGCCTTCATGGTCAGATTGTAGTTCCAAGCTCCGGAGGTGATTTTCTGGAACACAGAGCTGCACAGCAAACACACTCGCCGTTAGAAGGTTTTTTCACCTCGTCTCCACAAGGAGGCAGCAAGTGGCGCTTCAGTCGGGCTGCAACGTACGGAGAAAACTGATACATACAAAGAAAAAATACCGGATACTCAGCGGAGGACTTGGACAACTCTGTAAGGAAGGAATCAGTCACGAGGGACTTCGTAGGTTTCTGCATCTGCATCAAAAATAAGTTCCGACAGGCTCTCCAGGGCGGCTAACAAACAACCAGGTGTTATGGGTTATGTATCGCAATGTATCGCTTAGTGACAAAATCTTTGGATTCATTCAGGCCGTTGCGTTCGTCGAGCTTCCAAACAGTCAGACTAAGTGTTTCCTGAAAACGGCTGCAGTCGGTCAACGACCATCATTCTGCCAGCGCAACGCTAACGTAGAAATCGACATCGAAACAAGACTTTAAACAATCTTACCCTGAATTAACGGTTTTCAGTCATTCCTAAAAATCTTGCCTGGTCGAACATCTGCTTGTCGACAGACACTGTGGTTTACCGATGTTGCCTGAACGCCTCACAACGATGCTGATGGAGAAGCTGCGAGTCGCCTGAGCTCCGAGAAGCTTCTAGAGAGACCAAACATCAGCTGGAACAACGTCCAGGAAGACCCTCCGATGTCAGAGTTACTTCATCTCACTTTGTCATGTTGGACCATTTCTGAGTCATTTTGGACAAATTTTGAGAAATTTGGGGAAACTTCCTGAGCAGTTAGTTTAGACGGATTCTGACTGTACGAACTGTGACTTAGCTTTCATGGTTTTAGACAAATGCAGAGTCATTTAAATACATTTGGAGTCCTGGATGAGTTTCGACAGCCTCTGACTTGGACTGTGCTCATTTTGAGTAACTGTATGCAAATGCAGAGTCATTGTGGAGATTTTACAGACATTTGAAAAAGTTTACAGGACATGTTTTGCGTTATGGGCATTTTTTTAGTCCCTTTTGACAAGTTTGAAGTCATTTTGGACATGAAACTTTTGTCCAGTTGTTGCCTTTTGGAGTGATTTATGTCACTGCGAAGCCACCTTCAGTCAGTGAGAGATTCTTTCTTTTCAGATGTTTGATTTAATTTGTAAAATCATATCGTGATCAGGTATGTGCTTGGCTAACTATATTTCAACATATTTCGGGTACTTTAACTTGCAAATACTCAACGTCTGAGCAAGAAGGACAACTTAACGAACATTCATGTCGTTTTCTGGATGAATAAAGTGGACAGTTGGTTTAAACTCCTTCAAACCGAAGCCAGCAGCTGCCTCCACACACCTGTCTTTGATCCTGAAGGACGTAAACTGGATTTCCGGCTGAGTGTAGACGCAGGAGAAGTTGATGTGGACTTGGTCGAGGCGAGTGATGACTCCAGAGGAGACGTTTGTGGTCTTGATGGTGTTGGTGAAGAAAATCTTGCTACTGTTGGACTGCAGAGTGACACGAGTAGATGTTGTTATTACAGGTCATCTTTAGTTTATTTAATGAATTAAGTCAGTTATTAGTAGTTTAGTACTACTGCCACCGCCGTGCTTCATCATGATGCTGCCACCACCGTGCTTCACATCATGATGCTGCCACCACCGTGCTTCATCATGATGCTGCCACCACCGTGCTTCACCATGATGCTGCCACCACCGTGCTTCACAGTTGGGATGGTGTCTTTGTGATGATGTTTTGTGTCTGTCAAACACAATGTCTAGTCTAATGGACAAAAAGCTCCATTTAGGTCCAATTAGACCAAAAAACTTTTTCTGGTTTCTGATCATTCACCAGAGGAAACTGTACAAAGTGCATTCTGGGTAAACTTTTCAAGCTCACATCAGCATGTGTGATGGTGGTTGGTCAGAACCAGTTCTAGACAATGGAAGGACCATTTTTACTTACATTTGATACCAGGACCATCTACAGACAGGATTCATTTTATAATATAGTCATATTTTAACACAAAATGTAAAATTTGAGGTTCTATCCACTGAAAAGTTCAAACCCTGGTGTTGATACCAGATCACACGCCATCATTGTTGATTACAGTCTGAGGATGGAACCAGGACTATCAGAGGAGAACCTGACGGACTCTCAAACAAGTTGGTTTGATCGTTGACATTAAACTGTTGAATAAAACATGAGAACACCAAAGTGGTTTCTGCATTTCAGAGCCAGAAGATACATTCAGAGTTAGAATATGAAGGTATTGGAATGAATCATGTCTACAAGATGATCCTGTTACTCTGGAAATGTCCACAGTCTGGATGTCAAATGTTTTCATGACATACAGGGAAGGTCGTGGAGATAAATCAGCTGATCAGGGGGCTCTGACTGGTTTTTCCAGCCTGTGGAGAGTAAAGAACCCACCGTGACGTCGGCTCCACAGGTGTTGCTGCTGTTGTAGCTGAAGGTCACCATGTGGGTGACTTCGTCCATCTGACCCCTGCAGGTGTCGTTGTTCAGGTGTAAGGTGGAGTAGCTGATGCCTTTGTCCTGCAGCAGACAGTCGAGCAGAGAGACGGTAGCTGAGCTCTCGCTGCACACCGTCGGTTCTCCTGAACGCCACAAACAGAGATCACAGTTAGAGGTTTGCTGCCGTCATCGGGCCTGTTGTTCGTGTCGCCGCCGTCGTACCCAAACTGTCTTCAGACTTGTACTTGGAGGCAAAAATGGCCCGACAGAAGCAGCGAGTGTCGCCGCCGGGCGTCTTCTCGCCGCAGAACTCGTGAGCGCTGCAGGTCCTGTCCTGACAGAAGGCTTCAGGGGAGGCTGCAGAGAGAAACGTTGAGTTACTGGAGTCGGGTGTCGGCCAAGGCGGTGGACGGACCACCTCAGAATCTGGTGAAACCTTCCAGGAATGATCTTTGGCATCAGAAACTGACATCTGCCTCTTTTTTTGTTGTTGTTTGTTTAGCTAAAAATCCAACATTTTCATAATTTTTCACCGATTGAAACTTTCAAGAAAAGCAAGATGCCACTTTTAGACGTCCATATCTCCTGAAGTCTACGTCCTAGAGTCTCCACATGTTCAGAGGTTTCTGGTGAACAGAGAGAACGCAGCAAATTCTGGAAATCAAGACTCAGCTTTTTGCTGAAGACAAAATACACGACAACTAAAGTGGGATTTTCAAAAAAAATTAGAAAAATACCTCTCTTATGCATCGGATCTATTTGATCAATGTTGTCATCTGAATGACATCACTGATGTTTAGAAAGCTTCCGTGTGTTGGTAGAAATGGGAGTGATGGTCGATCAAAGCTGGTGAAATAGCAGATGGACGTCTTGAATCGTGGGTCGGCTGATGGAGTTTAGGACAGTAAGAGACGGACGGATCATCTACTGGAGTTTCAATAGGTTTTAGAAATGAGCCTCCATGTCTGTGTTATACTCGAATCTACTGACTTTATCTTCAGACGTTAAAATGCTGTTGATCCTGTTGAAAGACAAAACGCTGGAGCGTCGTCTGATGGATGCGTCACCAACCTGAATCTGCTGACAAACTCTCATTTATAACCGCCAACGCAGCCTCGGAAACGCTCGAGCAGGAGGCGGAATAAAGGAAAAAGAAAAAAAGACCAAATCACTGAGATGCTGATTCTCAACGGACTGAAACCATCACAGGAGAAATCTGCTCGTTTCACAAATACTCTGAACTCCTTTGGACAGACTGAGTCATTTCAGGCCCGTTTGGAGTCGCTTTAGTCCCCTTTTACGATTCTGAGTGAAATATTTTGAGTATTCTTGCAAGAAATTTGTAGTAATTCTTCATTTTGGACAGTTTTCGAGTAATTTCTTTGAGTTTGAGTCATTTCAGACGAATACTTTAACTTCTGAGTCGTGGACATGACGGGTCCCTGCAGGTTTAGCATCCGGCCACTGGAGCTTTGAAGCAGGTCATCAGCGACATCGTTTTCTGACAAGCGGCAAATCGTTTGTTTCTGCTCAGATGTACATTGTGGTATTTTGTAAAAGCTAAAGGGAGATAAGACGACACGTGTTGATCAAGCTCCAGCGTAAAACCAGCGAATCAAACTCCAGCTGCAGCGACTAACTGACCCGTGAACCAATCAGCAGCTGTTCTAATCGTCGCTTCGTTTTGTGGTTAAAAACAGACTCTCTGGATCTTTCCACAAAGTCAGTCATCTTGGACCTCAGAAACCTCAACAAACACTTTTCACTTCCAGACTTTTTACAGATGGATTCCTCCAGAACCCAGCGGAGCGCCTTGAGGCTCCGTGCTGGACCGGGCCGGGTCTTACGGCAGCGAGCGGCGGACCTCCAGCTCTGCAGCGAGGCGTCGTGCAGCTGGCAGGCTCGAGCGTAGGCCTCCAGGAACTGACAGTTGAGGCCATCCAGCGCCGGATATCTGCACAGAGTCCGGTTGCAGGCGGTGATGAAGGGCTGCGGGTCGATGCTGCTGTGGCAGGCGACGAAAGGCGGCTGCATCAGGCGGCCGCAGCTGGAAAATGAGACGCAACAGACTGAAAACGTGAGCTGAGCCTCAGTTCATCGACTTAGTTCATCACAGAGATCAAAAGCTCAGCGTTGCTGCACCAGAGTCTAAACGAAGCTCTCTCAAACGTTTTGGCTGAAGTCTGACAATTTCAGACGTTGTCAAAACCGGGATTTCTCTTCTGTTCACCTGGAAGACCGTCTTCAGGGTTCAGTACACCCACAAGTAAAGCAGTCAGAAACACGAGGTTATTCCCAGCAGATACCAGGGATTAAGTTTTAATTACTGGTTCTTGAAAATGGGTGAAAGTTTCAAATATTCTGGTGTTGATCCAGAAAGTCCCTGTCAGTGTCGATCTATGGATGGGTCCATGGTTCACCAGCTGTTGAGGCTCTAACATCAGCAGAACCTGATGTGGTGAAGCTGGACCAGACAAGGTTCTGGTTTTTAGAGAGTTTTACATGTCAAAATGCCAACATGAGTCCATTTGGACACGTTTTGAGTCATTTTAAACAAATTTTGATTCATTTTGGAGATTTTTTTTTGCTTTGTGAGACCAGTTTGGAGAAAGGTCCTGTCAGTGTCTATCTATGGATGGATCCATGGTTCTACTAGAACCCAGTCTCTGGTCACATTTCACCAACTGTTGAGGCTCAAACATCAGCAGAACCTGATGTGGTGAAGATGGACCAGACAAGGTTTGACATGAACACATGGAACAGCCTGGACATTGAATGTAAAATAAAAAATAGGAGACAAAGTTATGTTAAAAACAACCGGTACGATGTGATTCTAGTTCTAGGTCTTTGTTTAATAATGGTGGCAGGTCCATGGACACGGTTCTGTAACAGATCTGTCAAACCGGCACGCATTTCATTTAAAGTTGAGATTAAGATTTGATCTAAAATCACTGAGGGGAGTTTTCAGTTTGAACCCAAATTATTAGTTTTTTAACGTGTATGTTGTTTTTACAAGACTTTTTTCTCCATTAAAACCCAACCAGTGAACTGTCCTTCCCATTAGAACATCTTCGGTGGTTTTGGGTCGTTTTGGACTCACTGGTTGGACGGTCTGCTTCATGTTGGCTTCTTGGGGGGTTAACAACACACGAGGCTGCTCTGAAGACGGTTTCCAAGGGTGAAAACATACAAACTCTCCAAACGCAGCCAAAACATTTAACAGAACCTGACTTTGGGTCAAGTGCTGAACGTTCTCACCGTTGAGCCGCCGCCGTGCAGTTGATGCCGACGTCGGCGGCCTGCTGGTGCTTCGTCTGGCAGCTGCAGGGCGACAACACAAGACCGGGTCAGAACCCACCGCTCACTGCAACACCTGACACTTTACCGTCAGCGCCCACCTTTGGTTGCTGCCAGGGAGCGTCAGCTGATTTGGAGACCCACCGGAGAGCCCACACAGACCGGCGAGAGACGTCACGACGGGACCTGGACGGGTTCAGGAGACAAAGTCAGCGAGGTCGGCACCAAACCGGACCGCTCTACACATCCCCAAATGACCCATTTCATCATCCGCACCTTGAATCCGGATCTGAGCGGTGTTGCCGTCGAAGAAGATGGAGACATTGGAGTTGGCGAGCGACACCTTGGCGACGACGCCTCGGTGGTCTTTGGACATCATCACGCCCTGGACGTCCCGCAGCGAGCTGTTGAGCCTCAGCACCGACTCGTTCAGCTGCAAAGTAACGAGATGCCAAGTGACACGATGCAAACACGCAAACAGGCCACGGCGGGGGTTTGTGTCTTCTTCTTCATGGCTGCTGTGTTTCCACAGAGCTGCAGGACTTTGTGTTGTGGTGGGAAATGTGACAGCCACAAGTTCACGGGGTTAAAGGAGCCGGCTTACCCGAGCTTTGGCGCCTTGTTCCAAGTGGATGTTCACGAACACGTCACGCAGCTGCAGAGTGACGCTCTCCAAGAAGCTCACGTCGGTGCGCCGCCGTTCCCGGAAGTTGCCCACCAGCCGGAAGTTTGGGTTTGACGGAGCCGACAGCAGAGAATAGGAACAGCGATCCTCGATGACCGTCATCTGGCCGAGGATGTTGATGACAGTGTGGCCGGTCACAGTGCAGATTTTGTCAAACACACAACTGACGGAGGCAGAGGGACACAAACACCCACAAACAACATGATGAGGTGCTGCTGAGGGCTGCACACATCACAGCGCCCTCTACTGGTCAACATGCCTCACTGAAAGCTACTCTGTACACCTCATGGTGGCGCTGCAGGGTACACAAAGACACTCATGGACACTACAAAATGACCCCAAAGAGACTCAAAAGCATCAAAAACAACACAAAGCCATCAAAACACAAAGACAAAATCACCACAAAGACACAAAACCATCAAAAAAAACCACACCAAGGTATCACAAAGAGACACAAAATTATCAAAAAACAACACAAAAGTAGCACATAGAGACACAAAATCACCAGAAAGACACAAAATCGCTAAAAACAAACACGAAACCATCACAAAGAGACACAATACAATAAAAAAAGAAATGTGGCTAACGTTAGCTTTTATGGTAGTAGCAGTAGTAATGTGGCTAACATTAGCTTTGATGGTAGTTGCACTAGTAGGGTGGCTAACGTTAGCTTTGATAGTAGTAGCAGTAGTAATTTGGCTAACATTAGCTTTCTTAGCAGTAGTAATGTGGCTAACATTAGCTTACTTAG